TGGACTTGGATGAACACGATTAGGATTAAGAGGGGTTATATCAGGATTTCTCAAGGTTTAGAATCCAAACACTGATTCAGCAAACACGAAACACGAAACAGAACTCTAAAAAGGGCTATATTTACTCACTGTCGAAATAACTCGTGTCTTCTTCGTTCTCCAACTGCGGTACAAACTCAGCTTTCTGGCGAAGGAGTGTGTTGAAGTCAAGCAACGCGAAAAATGGATGTGCCATCAACTGAGGGGCACCGATGATAGCTCCTAAAAATGAAAAAAAAACTCTCAAATCACCAAAGTGAAATCGTGAATCTTGCTACCATTAGTTATCAAAAACTGCAATATAAGGTCGGAACACTCTTTCAAAGGCACGGGTTACGACTCAACGTAGAGCGATTCTCCCCTTGGGGATATGGCAGGCTCCTCATATAAGGAAACACGGCATTACTGCTACTTAAAAGTGTGCAACACTTGCGTTAAGGCTTCGCTTCGACGGCTGCGATCACCGCCATTTCTACACATTAGCAGCACACGCATGTCTGCGCCCTCTCGTTCAACCTGCTCTCTCACGCCTTCCCTCTCCTCGCTGCGTTGTGTCTCTCTATCGTACCACGACGAAGTAACGAGAAAATCACATAGTTAATTTCGTTGTTTTTATCATTAATCCTCCTTTCACTTTCTTCACATGGTCCTGGTTGCAACTCTTGTTTCATTTTGGAGCCGAATAGCACCCCAATTCGATCGCAACCCGTGCCTTTGAATCAGACACCTGTGCAGTTCCCTGCATCTGAAGGCAACGTCGAAAAAATTCACCTAGACGCTCCATCGGATTCTTCTCAAGCAAACGCCTGATCAGGTCTTCAGCTTCACGCGGTAGTGCCTCGTCGCCATCCGGATATTCTACCTCTTCTGAAAAGAAGCAAATCATTTCATGGTGGAGTGCACAACCGTAAGCCGGGTGTAAAAGAAAAAACCTTTGAAAATATCCACAAAGAAAAAAAGCTCCAAAAAATATTAACAAGTACCTCGAAAAGGTTACTGTACCTGATATAACTTTGGAGAATAGGTCCTCCGGTGAATCGCCGAAAAATGGCACACAACCAACAAGAAACTCGTACAAAATCACACCCAATGCCCACCAATCAACCGGTTTACCGTAGCCCTGGCGAAGGATCACTTCAGGAGCGATGTATCTAAAATGAACCATGGAATGAAATGTGCACAGAAGTTGGAAAAGAAACAAACTTTACATATTCAATTTTTCAAGCCTCCAAAGAGACATATAATAAAAATATTAGCAAACAAAAATAAAACCTACTCAGGAGTACCACACAGCTGCTTGTCTTTGAATTGCTGAGTATCAATGGCATTCTCGAAACCTTCAGCTACCAAAGTGGTTCGATTCATGAGACCAATTTTTGACAACCCAAAATCTGTCAGCTTGATGTGACCCATCGCTGTGATAAGCAGACTGAAAAGTGTTCAGTTAAAACGGTTTAACCTTATTAACTGTATTTATAATAAAATCGTGTAAAAAACCCTTTTCAAGAGCCAAAAATCGAAAATTCAGCAGCGGACTTTACAAAGAAAATGGGCACGACTTAAAAAGACAAAAGTTGTCACTGTAACATACTGTCAGTCCGGCAACCGCATCGAATCAAACGCGCCACGCATGCGCTTGGTACATTTCACATCGAGCAAAAAAAGTGTGAATGAACATAAAGTGAGATTCAATTTAACTCAGACCAATGATAGCAAATTCAGCAAATTCGCCGCATCTCCAACCCAGGTATATTTGTTTGTACACTGTGCCCCCTACGCAAACTCCGTCAATGGCGAGTCGCTCCGCAAAAAAATCAAACGACCCCACTACCGCTGGAAAAATTCGACACGGGACGTAACCCTGCAAATGCGCGCTGAACAATAGCAAACAAGCTCATCGAATTTTTTTAGCAGCTTTGAAATGACCGTCTCTACCTTCATACTCAGATAGGTTTCATCCCGTACATACTCTTTCACCCCCACCCACCCCAACATGAGCTCATCGTCTTCATAAGGCATTTTCCAAGTTTGCACCAAAACTTTTAGATGCCACATCATTTCGAAGCTCAACAAGTTACTTCATATGTCGGCAATTATTTGGCTGGCATGAACTCTTTTAAGCTCCAAAAATGACGTCACAGCAGATCTCCAAATGCGAGAGCAATAAACAACTTTAGAAAATGATTAAACAAAAAATGTATCGCTCAAGGAAAATCAATAAAACAACTCACTTGTCTGGTTTCAGGTCCCTGTGAACAATACCATAGGAGTGCAAGTACTCTATAGCTAGTACCGTCTCTGCCACATACAATCTGAAATATAAAGCGAACGATCAAAAACAACAAAGCTACAAATCTGTTAGACAATTACGGCAAGAAAATTTCGACGGCACTACTGATCCCTTTGAGCCCCAATATTCCCCTCTGAAGTCTTCGGAACTCAGAAATACAACGAAAATGACATCTAGCAAGATAATCGTCGCTGCTTCGGAAATAGCCGTCCGTCTGCATACCCATAATTCGCATCACCGGCTTATTAAAAGCCATCAAATCGCCCAATCGAGGCTTATATGTAGTCCCCTGCGCTCGTAACCCAATTGTTCCCTACCAAAGTATTGAGCGGCAGAAAATAAAATGAAAAAAAGACAATGCAAATATTTACCTCGCCAGATCTATGGGCAATGTGCCTGCACTCTTCAGCAATGCTGCGCAATCACCACCTTCAACATACTCCATTAGCATACAGAGATGATGTTTCGTTTCAAACGAGCCATAGAACGAGACCACAAAAGGATTGTCGGTCATTGTCAGGATATCACGTTCAGCAAACACCTGCAAAATCAGCATTTCAGCCTGGTAGTATAATGGCCACGGCAATAAGTACTGCATACAAACTACTACCATCAATGGCGGCTACTACCATGAATGAAAAATAATTGGATCTTAAATAGAAAACCCTTCCCATCCTACCTTCTCTACTGCTTTTACCGATTCCTATGCCGCATCCCTTCAAGTATTCAGCTCTTGACGAGCTTACTATTCCTTACTCCAAAACATTCTTTCTACCGGGAACTTCCAAACAAAAAAAACCCCGCGGGTGAAGAAACCTATTACTGTTAATAAAACAATCAAATTGATAAAAAAACACTGACTCACTAGAATTTTGCAGTGCTTTCAATAAACTGCAGCTTTTTGAACTACTCCCAACAAAAAAAAACGTTATGAAAAAACACTTGAAAATTGTAATTGGTAATAGTCTAACAAATCTCGTGAGGCATGTCATTTACACACTGACCTGATCAACCTGATTCCTGAGCACCAACGTCTGCTTGTTCATCTTCTTCAACGCGAAGCGCTGCCGTGTTTCGCGATGTCTCACCAAATAAACAGCTCCGTAGGCACCATTACTGACCAACTGAAAATAAAAAATTAACATGAAATCAGCAAATAATTAAACTCTACATTCCCATCATAAGAAACTCGGTCCAGTACCAAGGATAGTGGAACTAAATGGTGAACAATCGTACATCCCCCCCCCCCCCCCCCCCCCCCCCCCTTTTAGTTGATGACACAACGGTATTTATTACCGGTATAGCGAGTGCCAAATAATAGGTCGTGTATAAAAGTAGACCACTGTTCTTTGCAGCTGAAAAAATGTGGGGAAATTAGAAAGAAGTTCGATAGTGGAAAAAGAACGGGTACTTGTATGACAAAATGGTCTCTAATGTGGGGGAAGGAGGGTAAAGGGGGGGGGGATAGAACGAAACACAAAAGAGAAACAACCTCTAAAGCGAGAGGGATTTCAAATTAAGGAATTCCGTCCATAGGATGCCCTTCGTACCTGACTTTTTGGCTATCTTCAACTCTACTCATAGTAACGCCCTATTTGGTCCCAAACATACCTTAGAGTAAGATCCTTCCCACCCCCACCCCCCTCCTTCTATCCACACCTTACTTCTAGAACATCCTAGGATGGTGTGAAGTTTTTCCAGAGACAAAAGTTGAGCTCACCCTGATTGTTTCAAAATCATCTTCACGAGGCGCTCGGTGATGAACATCCGGCTTTCCCGATTGGCCTAGCGGAATTTCCTCGTCGCGATGTGACACTGCTGACGTTGAAGCATGTGGCGGTGATTCTGCTCGCGGGTCCACATCCATCAATGGATCGCGATCCAACCCAAGCTTCCCTAAAGAAGAAATCTTTGGAGAATCTTCAAAAAAAGAACAGGAACTTTTCATAAATCTCCTTTTCAGGGGAGATAGAGATATGAGCTAACAATAGGAATTCCTCGTCGTTATGTATTGTCTCCTCGTGATGTAGCGGATTATCGTTTACACTTTCTAAGAAAGCATTACAGTAATAGCTTACTCAAATGTCAAAGAAGAAAAGGGGAACAGGGAAATCAATAAAGCCAGCCCCAAAATCCTAAAAATCCTTTTGAATTCGCACAAACGCTAATAGCTCCTGAAAAATCGGAAACACTCTCAAGACCAACCGATAATGTACTGTGGCAGATCAGGTACTCGCGCAGTACCGCTACCCAGCTGCTCCCTCACGACACCTTCAGCTTCCTCGAGTAGATGGTAAAACTCATCCGGATCAAACTCCTAAAATAAAGTTTAAAAATCGATTTTTGAATCGTCATGCACCATTTAGTAAGCTACATTGTATCCCTTGATAAACTAACCAGGCATTCCAGTAATCGTGCCGGTCGACTGACAATCATCAACAGCTGCTTGACCAATTTTGAAAGGTATGCAAACGATTCAGGAGATGTTTTTTGCTGGGCCTGAACAAATTTAATAGTGCAAAACTGGTAATAATATAAAAGTCATTAAAATTTTATCGAGAAAAAATATAACCTAATAGCTTGACAACAAACCTCATTCAGCGTTTCATCAAGCCTCTGACTCATCTCGCAAAAATAGGAACACGATATAGTTTCATCACGAGAACGAGCCAAACAATCCGATGCTACCTGTAAATCGATGCTTATCAATAAGGTCAATAGAATAAAACCAATGAAAAGCATGAAGGAAAAATCGACAAGCCTCTCAGGTTCCTTAGAAAAATGACCAAATTCAGAAGAAAAAAAAACGGAAAAATAAATAACAATAATCGTACCTCTACAATCTGATGATGTAAGAATCTTGTTGCTCCGTCACCAATTAACCGTAATAGCGTACGGTCAATAGATGTTTCTGTTTCCATCACCTTAAAATGAGAATGTTGAGGTGATCACTGATAACCAACTAATCTTGGAAATCACCGATGTACAGACTACCTATCGCAGAGTTACAAACAGGGGGCAATCGAGTGTCGCGATGTTCTCAACAAGGGGGGAGGGGTCGTAGTTGAGCTTTTTGGGAGGGGGGTGCATTTTGAGTTAGTGAAAGTCAAAAGGTGGAGGAAGGGGTCGGGGTCGTGACAGTAGCAGAGGGGATTCGCATTGGGAGAGCTTCCTGAGGCTTATGGAGACGGCGGAGATCATATTGAGACCCTCTATGAGGGGGTTGTAAAATTTTGAAATCTGCGCAACACATGG